TTGTTGCTGCTGTCTTCTCCATTATCATAATCTGGTCTGTATTCCAAGTCGCTAGGGTCTAGGGTTTTGAGTCCGAGTTGATTCGGTCCCATCAAAACCTCTTCCACGGCTTTCAAGTAACTCCGCGCGTGCTCCTGCAGCCAAACCCTAAACCCTAAACCCTAAACCCTAAACCCTCGCCCGAAGCCCCGCACAGACACCGCTGCGCGCACCCGCTAACCGTAGTAAACCCTAGTCCCATACGCCGCCACCCCACACGCTGTTCCCCGCCTGCAATAGCCTAAACCCCAAACCCTAAACCCTAAATCCTAAACCCTAAACCCTAAACCCTCGTGCTGCCAGATCCTCACCCCGAGCACCCAGACCTCCACCCAAGTCGCTGCCCGGAAGTCCCACCCCTCCCTCTAAACCCCACACCCCAATCCCCAACCCCTAAACCCTAAACCCTAAACCCCAAACCCTAAACCCTAAACCCTAAACCCTCACGGGTTTGACGAGTTCGGGGGCGACAGCGAGGGCGATGCATGCGTTGGGTCGGAGTTGGAAATCGGCCCAGGGAGTGGAGGCTTTGAAGGTGTCTTTGAAGATGCCTCTTCTATTCACTAATTTAGGGTTTAGGAAGTACTGGCTGTCTTCCTGAGGGTTTAGGGGCACGAAAAAAAGGGTTTCGAAGCGCGCTTTCAACAGCGACTCCCACCGGGTGTACAGACACTCCGATCCATCTCGAAAACAAACTGATTTGTGTTCAAAAACCCTTTCTGGGAGTTTTGAAATAAATCTCAAACTCGATTTCAAAAGTCCATTTATTTCCACTGCTGCGCCGTCGCGCGGAGTCGCAGGCAAACCCTTGTTCCCCGCCTGCGCAACGCACCACGATTTAGGGTTTAGGGTTTAGGGTTTAGGGCGGGGTGCGAAGCAGCAGCACACGCCTGGTTGCTCCCCGAGGGAAAAGATAGCATGAGGGTTTAGGGTTTAGGGTTTGGGGTTCGGGGGTGCGGGTGCAGGTTTACTGAGGGTTTAGGGTTTAGGGTTTAGGGTTTGTTGCCTGCAGCAGCACATGCCTGCTCCCTCCCCTGAGGGTTCTACTGTTTACGGTTCAGGCTTTAGGGTTTGGGGTTCGGTGTTGCGGGTGCAGGTTCATCGAGGGTTTAGGGTTTAGGGTTTGCCTTTTCTGAAGAGCCCATTTTGTCCATCCAAGTGCCGCAGTTTCTGTCATTGCCCCCGAAAATAAACCCTGAATTAGGGTCTACATAAATGTCTACTTGAAACCCTTTATCTGTCATTTGCTCGTCCAGCTGCTTGCCCGCGTTCCACTCGCGAAATGATATGCCCTGCAGACCCACAAACCCTAAACCCTCAACCCTAAACCCTAAACCCCAAACCCCGAACCCCAAACCATCAACCCTCAACCCTCTACCCTAAACCCGAAACCCTGAACCCTAAACCCTAAACCCTAAACCCTAGACCCTAGACCCTAAACCCCAAACCCTAAACCCTAAACCCTAAGCAATGGATGCACCCCTCATGCAGCCTCTCTGTGCTCACGCAAAACACCCACGCACAAGCGCTTAACCCTAAACCCTAATCATAAGTCCCCAACCCTAAATCCAAAGCCCCAACCCGAAACCCTAGCTGCCAAACCCAAACCCTTAACCGTAAACCCTAAACCCTAAACCCTACTTTGGCGTGTGAGGCCAGGATGTGGTGCATGACATCTCCAATATTTCGAATTTCTTCTGGAAGTTGAGAAGCATTTTTTCCATATTTCATTTCGACGGGACAAAGCAGAAAGTCTAAACCCTCGGGAGCCGCCAGGCAGTAGTCTTGGATTGCCTAAACCCCAAACCCTAAACCCTAAACCCTAAACCCTAAACCCTAGACCCTGGATCCTGGACACGTCTACGGCGCGCGTTCGCGCCAGGAGCGCCCCGGGCGCGGGCCCCTCGAAGCCCGCCTGTTCGCAGCGGAGCGCCCAGGGTTTAGGGTTTAGGGTTTAGGGTTTAGGGTTTGGACCTGCATGAAGAACCAAGTGGCATCCCTTGCATTGTATCGAGGGTTATTTCCCGAATCCAACAAATTAGGGATTAGCCCATGACGCAAAACGCGGGCGTAGCCCAGAATCTCCCTGCGCGCTTCCGCGTACCGCCTGCACAAACCCTAAACCCTAAACCCTAAACCCTAAACCCTAATGCTTAAACCCCGGGGCCTACAGCCTAACGCGTGAGTCTTCAGGGTAGTGAGCTGACTTTGTCGCGCCCCCACAGCCCCCCTAACCCCCAAACCCTAAACCCTAGACCGTAAACCCCAAACCCTAAACCCTAAACCCTAAACGGTAAACCCCAAACCCTACCCCGTGGCAACGAGTATGCCTCTGATGGCGATGAAAGGCACCCCGAACCCCCAACCCCCAACTCCCGACCCCCAAACCCCAAACCCTAAACCCCAAACCCCAAACCCTAAATCCTAAACCCTAACCCATAAACCCTACCCAGTGGCAATGAGTATGCCCCTGATGGCGATGAAAGGCACCCCTAACCCCCAACCCCCCACCCGCAACCCCCCACCCCGAAGCCCCACCCCCAAGCCCTAAACCCTAAACCCTAAACCCTAAACCCTAAACCCTACCCCGTGGCAACGAGTATGCCTCCGATGGCGATGAAAGGCACCCCTAACTCCCAACCCCCAACCCCCCACCCCCAAGCCCTAAACCCTAAACCCTAAACCCTAAACCCTAAGCCCTAAGCCCTAAGCCCTAAACCCT